TGTCTGTCCATGTCTTCTGCCCATTTCTTGACTGGATTATTTGTTTTTTGGGGGGTGTTGAATCTTATAAGTTCTTATACTAACCCTTTATCAGATATTTCATTTGCAAATACCTTCTCCCATTCCATAGGTTGCCTCACTGGATTTGAGGAAGCATAGAAGACATCAGGGAGACCCTTACATAGTATTAGTTCTTAATAATCAAGAACTTCATCTGATTGGCATACGATGGTATATTTTAGACAGAGCTGTTAAACATTTCTGCTGGCTGAAACTTGTGCATTGGGGGTAACAGCTAAACCAGAGTGTCTTTAGGCAACCAATGTCAGGACTTTGCATACTGCAAAGACTTCCCAGGTGTGCTGCATGGTCTGTCCTTCCACAGAGACTGGAAGAGGAGTAGTCAGACCAGCCAGCTGGTCTCAGCCCACTTTATGAAAACGTCAACCATTTTGAATGTTATTTGCAATAGAAGCATAAGATACAAATGGGCAGCAGTCATTAAACAAAAGCTTTCCAATGGCTTCTGTATTGTACTTACAATAAAATCTATACCACCTATAATGGCCTGCAGTCCTACATAACCAAGTCTCTACAAATATCTCTTAACATGCATCATCATCATCCTTAATGTCTAGAATCCTCCTGGCCTTCTTTGTCTTCCTTAAAAATGATAACCTTATTCTCATGATTTATGTATAACAGTTCATTGTTTTGGGAAAGACCTTCCCCCCAATTTTGGCAAGGCTGTCTCCTTTTGATTCAGTCTTCTGTCCAAATACCACCCAATAATTAAGTCATCACTAACTACTACCGCCTCTAAATAACCAACCTCCTAATATGGCAATTTGTTTTAGGTTTTCTTCATTGCACTTTTCACTATCTGCAATAATTTGTTTACTGATTTATTTGTTCATTTTCTGTTTTTCTTAATTTCATAGGAATGGAAACTTCATGAACACTGAATCAATGAATAACTGATGGCCCCAAATCAGAGCAATTGATAGTATCTGACACCTTAGTAACAGATAATGTGTTTTCAGTATATTATGTTCACTTGAGTAACTAAGATGACTTAACATAGTACAAAAGTATAAACTCTAAAGAAAAAAAAGTCTGCAATTTAAATCCTGGTTTTACTACTTATTATCTAGGTAAATTTGTATAAGTTTCCCTTTAAGTGGAGATGATAATATGGAACTCACTGGTTTATTAGATAATCCACATAACTCACCTAGCATTATGACTGACTCAATATGTTCTTAAAAACTGATAGGTATTATAGTTGTCATCATCTTTTATGTTAAGTAGCATATTATTTCCACCTATTCTTTGCTGTTCTGGAGAAATCTCTAGAACTAGAATGGAATCCATTGTTCCCTCTTGTCCAGCATCCTTACTTTGCACTTTTTGTGACAGTCCATTGCTCTTCTGTGGTGCTAAGCCCATCCAAGAATGGGCACATGACTTGGGTCTGGCTAATGACTGCCTCCGCAGGTCCTTTGCTGGAACTCTCCATGGAGGAGTAATGGGGGTAGACATCTTCTCTTCTTTGAATGCAACATTGGTCTTCACTGACCATCTTTACCCAAATGTGAAACAACCTTGCCTGAAAATGAAGCCCACACAGAGGAAGAAGTACCAAGAGACAGGGAAAGAAAAGGGATTCTTGATGACCATACCCTTGGACCCAGCTGTGCCTAATGCAGCCACACCCCATGGATATACCTGTTAGATATGATGATATTTTGTCTATGCCAGTTTGAGTTTGGTTTCTGAAACTTGTAATAAAAAAAAAGAATGTTTTCTAATAAAACACTAGTTTATTTATTTATGTTTGTTAGTTTGTTGTAAGGCTAAGGGGTAAAAAAAGGCCTTTTCTGAGGTCTAACTAGCAAATAAACAAATTAACATCCAGAATGAAATGGTTTTCAGTGAAAGTGTTAAAAAGGCTCTGGGCTACGAGGAGCTAGAGACACCTGAGGGCTATTTTTCTACAATGGACAGTAAGAGCCCCTTTAAAGAAATGGTCAATGTTGGCCTGTGGCCCCCCAGACCAAGAACAGATTGCCTAAAAGCAATTTCAGAGTATCTGTGGTTACAAAGTAACAGGGAAAATTAAGGAAGGAATTAACACCCTTATTCAAGAAGTAAGCAGGAAGAGAAGGCATTACTGGAAGTAAAGAGGAAAATAATTGTCTTCCTGTGTAAAGGAAATTAAATATGCAACAAGTAGGATATAGAGCAGCTAATTACTGACAAGGGTACTAATTTGTACCGAGGGGTTTATGTGCTTTTCAAAATGTTTTCTCCAGAAAAGATGCATTAAAATGTTTTCTTATGTGAAGAAGATAGCATGCATTAGCATACATGCTGTTCTTCTTAATAAAGAATCTTAAAAATCTTATCAGGTATCTGTTATAAATGAGTATCTATTATATTTCTGTCAAAAAAATACCCACAGGGGTGTGAATGCTAGTCTACACGTCCATTTCTCTCTGTACATTATACCTAAATAAGTTAATGCAACTAAACATACATTTTGGAGAACATCCTATGCAAAATACTTTGATAGACACCACAGGAAACACCAAGATAAAAGTATCCTTCATCTTTTTTTTTAAAGTATCTCTCATCTTCAGGAGCTTATCATAGAATAAAGAAGATGAGAAATCTGTACACCTAACTGTATCATCAGGGAGAAAAGCTGAATTCTGTAGTAGCCATAAACGAAGTAAAATGAAAGACATACATTTAGCCTAGGGCAGTAGTTCTGAAATTTGAGCATGCATGAGAACCACCTGGGACACTTGTTACAATGAAGATTGCTGGGCTCACCCCAGAGTTTTTTTTAACATGTTTGCAGATGGCATTGACCTGCTAGTCTGGGGCTCATCCTTTGAGAACTCTAGGATCTAGAGAATTGGTTTGCAATTCTAGCCACACATCAGAATCTCCTAGGGGACCTCTAGACAATCTAATGGCCAGGCCTCATCCCAGCCCAATAATAAAAGAAAAATATTTTATGAAGATGACTATTAACTAGAACTGGACATTGAATCATATGAATAGTAGTTTTATAAACAGCTGGAAATAGAGGACTCAGATGCTAGATGGACGGAGAAAAGTCATGGTAGAAGGAAACTATGGTGCATGATTGGAAATGAGAGTACAGCATGACTGGAGCACAGGTGGAGAAAAGAAATCTCAGGTCAAGTCATGAAAGATTTTTTTTATTTTTTAAGATTTATTTATTTCAGAGAGAGAGAGTGTGAGCAGTGGGGGGGTACAGAGAGAGGGGGAGAAAGCAGACTCCCTGCTGAGTGACTGGGAGGGGGTGCTCCAAGCCAGGACCCTGAAATCATGACCTGAGCTAAAATCAAGATTAAGAGGCTTAACAGACTGAGGCAGTCAGGTGCCCCAAGTCATGAAAAATCCTGACTGCCATGCTAAGGAGGTTTTGACTCCTTTTTGGGACAATAAGAAATCACCAAATCCTTTGAGCAGGAGAGTAACACAGTAAGATGTGACTTAAAATTATTGTCTGGAAGCAAAATCCCGAGTAGATTAAAACAACATGGGGGTCTTAGAGACAGGAGATGGTTAGGATGTGACAGCAATGGTCTAGACCTATTTTCTCAAACTGGAGTCCGGGGATGTGTTCTCAGGGCCTACATGTTCTATATAAATGTTTTAATTTTGTTTCCTTATTTCAAAGATAACCTAGGAATGTATTTGATCAGTTATAAAGGCCAAACTTGTCTTTTGTGATGATGGTCCTCAACTGAAGATTTTCACAACACTGGGCTTAAGCTTCTTCAGTCAGTGTTTCTTAGTCAGTGGACATACTAAGAATTCAAGATTAACTATTTTGGTTTTCCCTGTGAAAGGGGTCATTACATGATATACCTTTGAGAAATAGTGATCTGAACGAGGTAATAAAATGGGGTTAGTCCCAGAGACATTTTAGTCAGATTCATCAGGATCTCCAACGACATTTTAGGAGGAAGAGAAAATGGGAAATCAAAAAGATATTGGGGGCTTTAAGGCTGAGAGCTTCACAAGTGATAAAATGACGGAACAGGGTAAAGCATCTAGGAAAAAGGACAGGTTTGTGTGAAGCTGGGGGAGAAAGACAAAGCATTTGTAGTGAAAGAAAGCCTACCTTTTGGTCATAACTACAAGAACAAGCACCTCCCCATATCAAGAATTTTAGGAATTAATTTATCCTCAGAGTTTAGCCATATTGTGGACAAAACTGAAAAATGTCACAATAGTATTTTTGAATTATTAAGGTTTAAGGTAGAACAAGAACATTTTTCTTATAAAAATAAAGGCTATAATCTGTAAGTAATTTAAAAAGATGACCTGTTCGCAGAATAATTCATAAGGTAGGAGGAAGATATATATGTTAATAATTTGTCAAAAATTAAAGTTTGAATTATAACACATTTCCCTTTCACTTACTGTGGCTAATTTTCCCTGCCATGGGTCATTCTGCCAGGAACACTATTTTTAGAGAGGAAAAACAGCAAAATCCAAACATTAATATATGTATTTGAAAGTAGTTATTTTTCCAATACCAAGTAAATGCTGTGTCATATCTTCTGTGTTAACCATATTCTTCTCTCTGTGTCAGGGTGCCAGGTGTTTAAAGGAACCTATTTTATTTACTCTTCATCTACTGCAACCGCCTAGGGGACACCACTATAAAATATCTATGATTTCTCTTCCCCTTGGAAATGGTCTAATATTTAATTTTTGATCTTCTTCAGCAATTAAGACAATAGCATGAAAATTTTCCAAACATTTTTTCTATTTTATTTTTAAAAAGTGTACTCATTAGAATATTTGAAATAGTAAACCCTAAATAAAAAGACTTTATATCAAAAAGAGTATCATCATCAATCACTTAATAATGAGTATGTCAAAAACACAATTGATCTACTCCTGCCAAAATATGAAAACTTACTTTTTTAAAAAATTGAACAATTACATACCTGAGCTTCTGGTTGTATTGTTTGACTTTTTCCAGTGAGGCTGCATTTATCTGGGCTTGAAATTCTTCCACTGAAACATTGTCTCTATAATAATATCCTTCCATGCTCTCCAGTGCTGTGTAAACAAGTAAATGTTCTCTTTCACGTGATTTCATAACTCAAGTTCTCCACATTTAGTGTAATCTTATTGATTATTAGTAAATGTATTTAAAACACTGACTATGACCACACATGCAATAAACTATCTTTCACCAGTCCAGAAATGAATGAAAATCATTCCTCTGCTCTCAAAATATGTATCAAACATTTGGTGATTATATGGAGTGATATAATGAGGTATATCTAATAGGTAATTTCTAATTTAAACCATCTTCTATTTTATAATGTATATATACGCACATATACATACACATATTATATATATACATACATATGTATGGGAGGCAGAACTGTGTATTAACCTACATAAGAGTAAAAAAGTTGAAATTGCTGCTCTCCATGTATACTCACATTCTCTTGCAGCTGCAGTTAAATTATGAAATATGAGTGTAATAAATTTGAAGTATAGATAATCTTAGAATACTACCCTTACTACAATGCTTAATTTAGTTAAAAATAAATAAGTATAAACATACATATATAACTCCCCATTAATTTTAAACAACTTTTGATTGAAATGGATTTCCTTCTTAACTAACATTTTTGGTTAAGTATTTTTTCCTTTAAACTTTATGTGATGGTACTTTTAACCTTTTGGAGAGGAAATGAATTACATGGAAGTGCCTAGAAATACAAGATCTCCTATGGAGAGGTTGCCAGGAACAGAAATGGCAATGGATCCAACTTGGAAATGTAAATTATTTCCCCTTGAAATTATTGCCACTATTAAGCTTCAATTTTCAGCAGATTATTTCAAAATTGATTAAAAAAATTAATCTTCTTTCAAAACTGCTATATGCAATAGCTTTAAACTAATAAGTTTCTTCAAACTGACAAAAACATCACCATTTTAGGGGCAAAAATAGAAAAGTCATTGCTAATTTTTTTTATTATTTCCAGTTTTTATTTAAATTCCAGTTAATTAACATATAGTGTAATATTGGTTCCAGGAGTAGAATTTAGTGATTCATCACTTATATATAACACCCAATGCTTATCACAAGTTCATTACTAATATTTGCTGTGCTGTTTTCTTGACTAGTAAGATCTGTATAGCACTGAAGAAACAAAAAACCTTTTAGAATATTGCTCAATTTGAAATAAAAAATGGTATTATTGGCTTATAATTGAGAAAACCACTTATGGAAAATTAGAGAGATGCTTACTACATTTACTTCAGTACATGGTATCAAATTTGTGGGCTTGTTTCAAGGATTGTTTGTTTACTCCTTATGACCTCTGCATTAATTAGAATATTTGTAACTGGTTCAGCAAGCTTCTGGTCCTGAATACATACAAAAATAAAAGAAAGTCTTCCTGGTTAGACAATCCTCAAATAAATGCCACATTCACTTCCATTAATGAGATGTTATTTGTGAGAGGCAAATATTCAGAGGATTCAGTCTATCAATAGTCATCCTTCAATGTGAATTCCTCTTACCAGTTGTAAAGCTAATAATGAAAGTCCCTGCATTGGAGTAAAACCACCAATTCCACTACTTAGTAGCTGTATGACCTTAGGCATGTTAATTAAAATCCAAGATCCTTAGGTTCCTCATTTGTGAAATGGAAAGTAAAAAAATAGTAGAGTACCTACTAATTATGATTCTTGGGAAATAATTAAATTAAATAACAGTACTAAGAGACCCCCTGACTATTCTTTTCATTTATTGAATGTGTTTTATATATTAGGCCACATGCCCAATGCCCTACAGGCGTTATCTAATGCAACTTCCAGGAGATATAGATTATGCGTAAGTGTGCTTAGCTAAACAGGAAGTTCTGGGAACTAAAGAGGAGGGTCCATATAAAGACACTTCAATTTGTGATTTAAAACCATAAAATCATAAAGACTGGAAGAACACTAGGAAGGAGATACAGGGAAATCGTGGTGAGGGGTGGAGTGGGGACAGATATGAAAACACCTGGGGTCTAATTTTTATAGAAGTCTTGATGACTCAGTTTTGGTCAGAATGTCCAGGCCTGCTTTAAAAGCTTGTTGCCATACATAGAAATTTTTGTAAATGGGGAAAATGTCTAACAATCAGCAAAATGTTATGGCGCATGTGCAGGGCTGTGGGGAAATGAACAACAACAACAAAAACAGATGAGTTCTATATTTAAAAGTAAACTGTGTGGCAAAGAAGAGGAAAGAGAACAACATTCCTGATTTTAGATTAAGGGCTTGGTTATTTATCATTATAAATACAAGAAAATGGGTTAATATTTTACCGAATTCAATTTCTATACTCAGCAAAAGTGGGTTAAATATATAATGTCCAAATTTCCCAGTTTGGCTCTCAGCATTTTCTTGTCTAGTTTCCTTAATTCTCATCCAGATAATAGTATGTTTCTTAAAAGTAGTATTGACATTCTTGGTTGCATAAATATTTAATAGCATTTAATTAAAAGCAGTATTGAAAATACGATGAGTTTGTTTGCTTGTTTTCCTTTTACCACTTTTGAATTTGAGGAAGCAAATCATCCCAGCAAACTTAGGCAGTCAGCAAAAAAGAAAAACATAATGAATATTAGGGAAAAGTAAAGATTAAATTATTCTAAGACTGAAAATGAGCTGCATTTCCACTCACTCAAAATACCTTTCAAGGTTTTTCCAAGAAAGGAATTGATCAGGAAAAATAGAGAATTTCTGAAGAATAATTTTAAGAATAGTTTCAATTAACTGGGGCGCCTGGGTGGCTCAGTTGGTTAAGCGACTGCCTTCGGCTCAGGTCATGATCCTGGAGTCCCGGGATCGAGTCCAACATCGGGCTCCCTGCTCAGCGGGGAGTCTGCTTCTCCCTCTGACCCTCTTCCCTCTCATGCTCTCTATCTCTCATTTTCTCTCTCTCAAATAAATAAATAAAATCTTTAAAAAAAAAAAGAATAGTTTCAATTAACTAATACTCTTTCCTGATAGCATGATGACACTTTAATGGTTAAATAAAACAAGACATCTTCACTGGTCACGGTTGGTCAGAATTCAGAAGAACTGGTCACAATTTCTGTGAGGAAAGCAAGTTTTATCACTCCAAATGTGACCAGTATGTTGGAAAAGTTGTGCTGCCTTTTAAAGAGGGGTGGGTTCACATGTTCATAGACTGACTCTAACATTTAGGAAATCTCAATTCTGGGAACTATTCCTTCTTTCATAAAAAGCTATTTAATGCTTCAATTTCAAATACTGTATAAAACCTGGAGGGAAAACGAAGGAATTCATCTTTTAAAGGACCTAAAGTAGAGTTTTGCAAAAACTCAAAATGAAAAATAAACACTTGAATGAAGGAACCTTAGAAAATGACAATGTTTATCACAAAATGTTCCCTTTTGTTTAAGAGAGAAAACGCTCTATACTGGATTTTTTTAAATTAAAAAAAAGTAATAAAAGAGAAAATGCTCAAGTTTCTGGTTGATTTTAATTATTCTCTGAGAATAGAAAGACAACCTATAAAGAGGTAAGAGTTAGGATTTATCATTTCTGGTGCCAGCTTTTTTCATAAAGGCTGAGAAACAAATATACACAAGAGTGTGTTTGTGGAGAAAGGACCAGCATTGCATGTTCTAGTTGGTGTAAGGAAAACCATCATTAGAGACCCAGGGAACAGGTGCCTACCAATACAAAGAACGGATGCCATATTCCAGGACACAGGGCAACTAAAATCAAAGACCTTTAATGATGCCACATCCCTAATAGGTAGAATACATGGGTCCAGGAACCAAGGGTGGAAGCAGAAAGGTCCCTGCTTAACATCTGTTGAGGGCTAAATTGTGTCCTCCAAAAAGATACGGCCAACGTCCTAACCCCTGGTAGCTACAAATGTGACCTAAGTTTTATACAGGGTCTTTGCAGAGCCATCAACTTAAAATGAGGTCATACTGGATTAGAGTGGGCCCAAATCCAATGACTCGTGTTCTCCTAAGAAGAGGGAAATCTGGACAGAGATACAGAGACAGATCCACAGAGGGAGGAAGGTTGTGTGAAGACAGAAGCAGAGACTGTGATTACTCTGTCACAAGCCAAGGAATGCCGAGGACGGCTGGCAACCACCAGAAGCTAGAAGGTAAGGAAGGATTCCTCCTTAGAGCCTTCCAAGGGTGCATGGCCTTTGGGCATCTTGATTTCAGATTTCTAGCCTCCGGAACGATGATAGGTCTAATTTTTGTTGTTTTAAGCTACCCAGTTTGTGGTACTTTGTTATGGCATCTCTAAGAAACTAATACGACATCAGTCCCAGTGCCTCACTTGGGGATGTGTGCTTCCCATCCCTGAAACTCTGGCTCCGTGTGTTTAAAATGTCCTGATCACCAAAGAGGCACACTTTCCCTAGGAGACAAGGCAGGGGTCCCACTGAATGTAAACTATGGTTGCCACCAGGGCACTGAGGGCTCCTTGTGCCAAGGCACCCAGGAAGAGCAATCACCATCTTGGCAGGGCTAGTGGACCCTGATCATCGTAAGGAAGTAGGGCTGTTGTTATATAATGAGGGCAGGAAGGAACGTGTTTGGCACCCGGTGAATCTACTCAGGTCCCTCTTGGTACTTCCTTGTCCAGATTTGATGGTAAATGGACAAATGCAGCAACCCTGTCCTGAGAAGGGCAGAATGAACAGGGGGATTAGGCCCCTTGGGGATGTAGGTCTTAGTCATGCCACTGAGACCGGAAGGTTCAGGTTGAGAACAAGGCTGATCTACAACGAATACAGAAGAGGGAAGATGAGCATCTGTTGCAGCCCCAAACCAGCTATGCAGCAGGGGCTATGGCTTGTCCCCTTACCATGCTTCTTCTAGATTATCTCCCCAGGAAGGGAGCCCATCAGAGTCATGAAGGAGACGCTTCTAGTCTTGACTCGAATGGATCTAAGGGTACAAGGTGTGGATCATGGCAGGTCGCCCATTCGGATCTCCTTCCGGAAAGGATGGGCTTATTGCCTAGCTGTTGGGATTCCCAGAAGATATCCCTCAGCTGTCAGCTCTTTAGGGCATCTTCAGTCTTTGCTGAAGAAAACTGTCCCACCCAAATCACATCACCTGCATCCTAATGACCTAAAAATGCAGAAGTGAAAACACCCAGCTCCCTTGCCCTGGCTTCCCCAAATCTAAAAGTGTCAAGCCTTTGTGAAATGGATTATCTAATTAAGCAAAGATTAACTGGATAATTGCACAGTGTTTCGTAATCCACATTGACCTGTGCTTTCTCACTCCCATGGACCTTAGAGTCACCTGCAAAGCTTCTAAAATATACTGGTTTCTGGGCCCTATGTCCCAGAGATTCTGACTTAATCAGTTTGGTGTGGGACCAAGCATGGGTATTTTCTAAGACCTCCCCAAGGTGATTAATGTGCAGCCAGTACTGAGAACCCCTGAGAGACAGCATGAAAACAAGCCCATGGGGAGTGGGTGGAGGAAGTGACCTTGACTATCTATCCTCCTTACTCCCATTTTCACACAGTTTATAGTCACTTGCTTTATCTCACCAAGGGCTTGGGGATCCCAACAGGGTTAATTCCCTGACCTGTAGGAAGTACTTACAGAAGACTGTTTTTGTCTGATCTTAACCTTCTAGCATTTTGGTTATGTTCTGTGCTGACCTTCCTGTCTGGCTGCTTCTGTGATCTTTACCTTGTCAATCTGTACTTGTTCTGTTTGCCTAGATTCCTGTTCTCCTGTAGGTCTGGCCTTAAGTGACACATGTTTCCTGAAGTGTATCCTACTTGCCTCTGGCACTGGGATTCCTGACCTCACAGCTGGTGCCATCTCTGCAGGGCACCTTCTCAGTTCCTGTGCCCTTCTATGCAGAAAGGTCCATTCAGGCAAGAAAAATGAGAAGAAAGCAGTACATTTGCTTCCTGTTCCAAGTACATGATGTAACAGACAACTTTATAAGGGCTGACATAAATAGTTTTCCCAGGAGCCTTTCAAATTCATCTCATTTTTCTATTTTTTTAAAATATTTGCCAGCAAAGACCTGTGTACATATGTACACCTAAAACTAAAACCCTCTGAGTAAACGTTCATCTCCGGAATAGACACCATTTGGGGTCTCTTCATTTTCCACCACGTTCGATTACCAGATGGTAATCTCTACTCAAGCTAGGGCTGACTTTCCTGGGCTTCTCTCAATCTGATGAATAGTAAGAGTGAGTAATAATGAATCCTCATGGGAATCTGACGAGTGCAGAGGAACTTCTGCAACCCTTTAAGGAAGCAGCCTTATCACTGCCACTGTGCTAATGAGACAAGCTGTTTCCCAGTTTTCTTTCCCTCTCTGTGACCTCAACTGCAGACATCTTTCCACTCTGGCTTTCTCACATTTTATTGCTGTGTGAATATTAAAAACTAATGTTAGCGACAGTTTTTCTTTACATTTTGTAAAGCGATATTGTATTCACTAAAATAATATATACTTAGGGATTTTTTAAAAATTAGCTTTAGCCACAATTATAAAATAAGGTTACTTGGAAAATACTCTCCGTTTTCCTATGAACATTTGCTGCTGGGTATGAATATTCAGCTATTTATGGGTGATGTGTCACAAATGTAATAATTTTTTTTGAAGAGATGCAAAATGCCATCTGTCATCTCAGTCATGATTTCAAAGACAGAATTTTTAAAAAGGGGAATAAAGGAAAGGAAGTGAAGAATCTTTAATAACGTAAACTCTGGTTAAACCCTATAAAAGTTAACATTCCAGACTAGCACCCTTCTGTCTTCTAAAACTCTGTCTGTGTAATGGCTTTTAACATATTTTAGGCTAACTGTTCTCCTAACATAGCTCCAAAGGTCTATTTTTGCTGTTTCCTTTTTTTTTCATTCCTTTACAGAATCTTGTATTACCTTTTTTTTTCCAAAGAAAAATGAAAATGACTTCTAATAACTCCTAAGATCTTCTCTGCACCTGACATTTTCCTCTGCTGAAATGTATTCTTACCAAGTATCTGTTTGAGGTAGTCATTGTTTTCAAACCTTGGCAATTGAAGGAAGGGAAATCTATCTTAGAATTACAATAATATGCATATGGTACAAGAATTTTCACTTGGCAGTGGATTTTGATTTCATATGCCTGTCTGTTCTTAAGTTACAGAGATTGATTTTATTCCTCTACTCTTCTCATTTTTTTATTAGAATATAAAAATTCCACAGCAAAACCAATGCAGTTCTTGAAAACTCCATAGAAGAATGTATGAAATGCTCTGTGGAATTGCTCAGAGAAATTGATATAATCTTGTGACCACAGTATGAGTTAAAAAAAGATATCACAGACCAGAAGAAACTACACTGAAATAATCTGGACTTCTGATCAGTTTGAGGCTGCAGTTGCGACCCCAGAAATAAAAAAGATCCAGGACCTTCCCTTGGAAACCAGTTCACCACAAGAATCTTCCTACTCATGTTAAACTCAATTTCTTCTATTGCATTAAAACTCATTGTTCACTTGTCAAAACAAAATTTTTTTTATTTACAAAAGGAATCTATTTTTACTAACCAAAATCACATAATGCAGAAAAATTCAAAGAATAAAAAAAATCATCATCAATTTAATCACCCGATGATACTGAAAACACTTTATGTACGTTAAGTATGTTTAAGATAATGGATTACCTTATCTATAATATAAATTCTTTTTTGTAACCTGCACGTGTATATTGCCAAATTTTTTCTATCTCATAAAATATCTTTAGCCATATAATTTTAATGACTCTCCCATACTTTACTTAAGCCAAATTAATTTATCTTTACTATTTCAACCACTCATGTCTTGTTTCCCCACTGTAAATACTTACAGTCCTACTTAATAAACATTTAAACCTTATCTTTTTTTTAAAGATTTTAATTATTTATTTGACACAGAGAGATAGAGAGCGAGCACAAGCACGGGGAGCAGCAGAGGCAGAGGGAGAAGCAGGCTCCCCGCTGAGCAAGGAGCCCGATGTGGGACTCGATCCCAAGACCCTGGGATCAGGACCTGAGCTGAAGGCAGTTGCTTAACCATCTGAGCCACCCAAGTGCCCCTTAAACCTTATCTTATTGTTTCCTTAATAAACATTCCCAGAAGTAAATATATTACCTAGGTACTATGAAGGAATTTTTGAATTAATGGAAAAAAATCCCCACGATGGTAACAATCACATGTATTTTAAGAAATCAATAGAGATAAAATAATTTAAATACACGCATAAAAAGGAGAGCAGTTTACCTTGCGCAAAAAGAACAGGGTGAATTTTAAATCCTCCTCCATTTTTCAAACGTTGAGGCAGTTGTTCAAAATGATAACTATCAACGTAGAAGTAAACTTTCAGAGCCTGCCGGGTTCCCTCCGCTTGATAAGTAAGAGGAACATCTAAAATGACATTTAATGTTACATTATTTCCAAAAATCAGGATATGTTATAAAGTATATTTGTTAACTTTTTTAAAAATCTTGAAAATCACTAGAAACTAATATATTAAAAGTACCCATGTATGTCAAGTTCAGGTTAGGCAAACTTGCTATTCAGTGAAAGAGTATTCAATCAGATTCTTATCAGCTAAAGCAACAGATTTATTACCGTACTGTATATAAAATTCTACAATAGGAAACTTCGTTATACTTTGACACGCCAGATGCCTCACTTAACTAAATGAGAAATTTAGTTACACATGGTTTGGAATCAGAATCTCCCAGGGCATCTGTCTCATTCATATTTTAGTCAAAATGAGTCCTTGGGGTACAATTCCTAAGCAGTGTACAAGAAATTGGGTACATAGCAACCATTATCAAAATTAGCATGGGTTTTGCAAGTTCCATTCTCTGAGCATCAGATCAAAAGTGTATTACCTCTGTTGATGCCTTACAGTCCTTAGAAATTATCTGTCCAAATTCTTTTGGTTTTCACAAAGATCCTGAATTTAATTACTCAAAAACAAAAAAATAAAAAAAAAACCCAAACCCCAAAAAACAACCAACCTGAAAAGCTACCATGCTGTAGGAGTATTTCGCAGTGCTATCATAAATCCTTTTCATTTTATGTCACTTATCCATGACAAATAATTTCCAGTTCATGAAAAAAGCTAGAATAGTCATATTAACCAATTCAAAATTAAGGCAAAAATATAGTAGACATTTAATACATGTTCTTGACTCAATATTTGTTAGTTCTAACCTGCTTCTTAAATAAAATTATTTCTAAAAGCAGAGTTCAAGGTTAAATACCATTAATAAACAGAGATTCCAGGTTTCTTATTAAATATATCTAATTATGCATATCAATAGCAGAGGTATTGTATTAACATCTACAAGTCTCTTTTATGTCATATAATAATGCTTATTTTATTTTTGTTTCTATATGTTTGAGGGAGGTATAAAGGATTTTGGTTTAGGAAAGAGAATACATTTCTCAATTGAAGAGTTGGAAATTAACTGGATTTTAATGACTGGGAAAATCTTTTTTTCCCTGGCTCTATAATAAAGAAAAAGGATGCCTGGACACTGAAGAAAATCCCTACGTGTATATACTAAGTATTTGTATATTTGAGTTCCTTTTTTCATTCAGTATCTTTCATTTATATTTCAACTTTTAAAATTCCATTCCTTTATCTTTTGGCACCAAGGTGGCCAATCTCTGTTATCAAATGGATAATGTTTTTGAAAGGAAAATAATAATGCAGCAGTTGGAGTTCCATATTATAGGACTAACAAAGAACAAATAAAAATGCTCTACCAGGACCTAAGAAACTGAAAATGACCGAACATTATCAAGCATATTAAATTTCAAATGAAGTTAAAACTAAGAGTGAAAGAATGAAGAATTTCAAAGTAATTGGTATACCTATAAAAGTGCATAATAATGTAGAGCTGAAAATTCCTGCCTTTTATTTATGGAAATTCAGCTGCTATGAAAAATTTGATGATTAGGACTATGTAATGATTTAAGGCTTCAAAAACATTGCACGAGGAAAAGGTCTCTGGTTCCACCCTACAGAGAGATTCATTCTAGAAAGGAGTTTCAACAGCGGCATCCCATCCCTGTAAGCAGGGCTCTCCATCACTGAATGGGCCCAGGAGTTTGAAAATAAGTCTCTTAAGAAGCTGTTAACTCCCTTTGCCTAAATTGCTCTTCCTTGACCCTCTGCAGGGTTGGGTCTTGCTGGCCCTTTGGATTTCAGCTTAAAAGCTACTTCTGCTGAGAGCCCTTCCCTGTTGACCCCTTAAAAGGCCACCTGATCCTCATTCATTATGCATTGCTTATTTCCCGCAGAGGATTTATCATGGGCCTAATCATCGTTGTCATTGATTCCTTATTTGTTTTCTCCCAAGTAGGTTGTGAGCTACATGAAGATAGGGATATGTCTGTCCTATTCACCATGGCATCCACAGCTCCAGGCACAGTGCCTGGTCCATATGGAAAGACTGGAAGCTCAAAAATATTCATTCCCCTAATCATTATAGTAAAATTACCTGTATCACCATAAAAGGGCAGGAAGATCTGCAATCATTATATTATTCTCCAAAAACATGAAGATTTTCCATAAAATATATTTAGGTTTTTTTATTGTTATGTTAATCACCACACATAACATCATTAGTTTTGGATGTAGTGTTCCATGATTCATTGTTTGTGCATAACACCCAGTGCTCCACGCAGAACGTGCCCTCTTTAATACCCATCACCAGGCTAA